ATATTCTTTCCTATATGGGCAGCCAATATTTCGAGGTGTTACATAAATTCTGGCCCAATCAAACTTATAATACCCCCAACACATAGTGTTGTAGGGTATAAAAATTAAGTTCGGCCGGGCAGAACTATTATTATCATCCGCCTTAGGGTAAAGAAAATATTTTTATATAAAAGTATCTGAATTCAAGCCTGTTTCACTTTAAACTTTATATACCAGTAAGACTGTTTGGATAATGCAGTTAACTTATCAAAAAACCATAACTTATCAAAAAACCATAAACCCATATTGGCCATACGAAAACGGGAACCTCTGCGGACAAATTTATACTTCAAGGATTGTAATCTATTAAACCTTCAAAAATAATAAATTTAAAACAATTATGTGCGTAAATGTGATTAGGATTATCAATATTGGTAGGTATCATTATATGTTATGAAGAAATGTGTCAAAAATCATCAAAATACCGCATTTGGAGAGATACCGTTAAATACGCATAGTGAGCTTTGGATAACTTTAAGAATTTACAGTTTTTAATCAGTAGGTTGTGTTCCCAGCAACATCCAAGTTGTAGTATGAATTCTTATTTTGACGTTTTTTTGGGGAATTTTGCTAAAGTTTGTACTTGGACTTCTCTATACAGCTCAATGTTTTCGTACAATCTTCATATAACGGTAAATTTAGACATTCCGAATTGTTTTAAATGCAAAGGAATTATTACAAGGTTGAAATATGGAGGTAACACCTCCTACAATAGAAAATTTCCTACGCATGTTCCTGCAGGTCATGTGTCCTCATATTACTGAACATCTCAACTTCAGTATTTTGAAAATTGTTGCTACATTTTTCATAACGGTAACGGTAACGGTAGAATTGTTTGGAATTAAGTATATGGTAACAAATTTCTAGATAGGTGCAGGTCTTTGTATAGCCTCCAGACAAACGGTATTTTGACGATGCAATCAAATTTTTAATGTTTTTTTTCTTCTTTTAATTGGTGTATTAAGTTCCTGAAAACAGGCACTTATTTTAGTTTTGGGTGCCGCATTGCTAAACCTATCGCTATTTCGTGGAAAGGGCAATCTAAATAAAAAAGTGTTAAAAGCTCATGGCTATTCATTTTCGATGGATGTTTCGAAGCATGCCTATTTCAACTAACTTTATATGAAAATATAGCTACAGGTGTACTTATCTCAAACCTCAAAAGTTATTTTTTTCAAAACACAGTGTGAAAAATGCCATTGTCTTTTAGCAAACGGTGAAACGAACCCAAACAACATTTTATTTTTCCGTTTCGTTGGAAGCGCTTTTGTTGCCGGAAATTATAATCACAATGAAACCCAACCAACACCACCAACAAATGGTAAACTAGAGATTGCAATTCCAAGGAGTAAAACAAAAGAATTTTACCTGAAGTACGTTGCACAGTTTCCGCCAATTCCATGTAAAACAGACATGATACAAAATGGGTGGGACGGACTCGTTTGTCCGTAAAGCATTTGTTCGTGTGTTATATACAAATGTAGATGGTTACACTTCAATGCAAATGTGAATGCGTGTGTTGAGCTATTTGAAAACTTTTAAAGTACGTTAACATACAATGTTTTGATGCGATAGACAGCGAGAATTGACAAAGTTTTCGTATGTTTTCCATAGCCAATTTTTTTTTGATGTTCAATTATCACGACAATTGTATGAAAACGTACATCAAACGTAATTTTTACCAGAGACTTTATTTTAGTTAAATCAGCAAAAATTGTGTCTGCAGAAAAAATATGATGAAAGCGCTGGCGAGGAAATGTATTGCAAAAGAAAGCATCCATCGCATATCCTAGAGAACTCAAGAAAGAAGGAAAAATCGATCATTTTTATTTTCAGTGAAGTTAAAGACAAAACATAATTTGATGGGGCATTTCATTGTAGCGTTGATTAAATGTAATGCGTTGGTGTTAAAAAAATATATCACCATATCGTGACATAGCATTACGTTATAATCTAAAAGAGCTCCCACTTTTATAGGGATTTCGCCTATTTTTATCGATTCAATGTACACGAAAATGCTCTAGAGAATTTTATTTTTCAACGATTTTGGAATAACAGATTTTTGTAAAATTTCCAATGCAGTTTTTGCATGCCACTTATTTTCTGATCGAGACATTAAAAGGACATACGCATTTTGTTCAATCTTTTCACTTTTATGTCATTGAATGCATAGTTTTGAACTGAACTTAATGTAAATTGGTATTTGGTGTCCCCAATATGTGAGAAACATCCTTGAATAATCCATATAAATCCCAGCTTTGGTATTGTCCTCACACAACTGTCCCCAAACCCGATCAAATTGGTATGAATGGGTTCAAATTCAGATATAGCTCCCATGTACAGTGTGAGATAAAAAACTGCAAGAAGGTCAAACGCAATAAATGTTTACATTTTTTTTTAAATTTTATTGAATGAAAGCAAAAAATGTCGGATATAGCATCAAATTTTAGAATAAGTTTAGATTTCTTCGAATTGGTCCCCTTTCGCACGAATTATGGCCTTTAAACGGCCAATGAAACCGTGACACGCTGCCCGAATGTTGGTCTGCTGTATATTGGTCCATTTCCGGCGAAGCGCTTGCTTGAGGTGATCGACACTTTGGTATTTTTTAGTGTCAACCTTGCTTTCCAAAATACTCCATACAAAATAGCGAAACGGATTGGTATCCGGAGATTTTTGTGGCCATTGTGCGCTGGAAATAAAGGAATGAACCTCATTTTATAACCATTCTTGCGTGGCTTGTGCTGAGTCCTGTTGGAATCTTCAAGGCTAAAATGGTTGCGTGCCCTCCAGAATATTTTCGCGATAATATTCGGCATTTATTCTGATGCCACGGTCGATTAATACGAGGGGAGACGACCATCGGCTGTTATGGCGGCCCACACCAACACTATGGACGGCGCTTGAGTTCTGGTGGCTAACCGAAGATGCACATTTTCAGCTGACCTCTTTGGCAGGTAAACACGATAATTTTGTTTCTTAACAAACTGCTGGACAACGAATGTCGAAACCCAAAGTCGGCAGTTCACCACTTTCGGCTAAGCGAAGCAACTCTTTAGTTCTTTTGAGTCTATTTTCTTTCTGTTGCGGTGTAAGTCCTTGCACTTTTTGGAATTCCAATGGCTTTAGCCCGAGCTCAATTTTCTATATATGCCGAATGGAATATTGCAATATGTTCAGCTAACGAGCCATTTTTCGGCCACTGCGACGCGGGTTTCGTTTAAGTCGCTTCTTTACTTTTCGAACTATTTCTGCGAAGCGAAGCAACTTTTTAGCTCTTTTGAGTCTATTTTCTTTCTGTTGCGGTGTAAGTACTTGCAAGTTTTGAAATTTCCATGGCTTTACCCCGAGGTTATTTTTCAATACTTCAAGAATGGAATATTGCAATATGTTCAGCTCACGAGCCATTTTTCGGCCACTGCGACGCGTGTTTCGTTTAAGTCGCTTCTTTACTTTTCGAACCATTTCTGCTGATGTTACTGTTTTTTTCCGTCCACTCACTTGACGTCGGGCTACACTACAAGTATCATGGTAACGAGCGAAAAAAGATTTATTCACATTTAAAAGCTGGAGTGCTCTAACGATGGCCATTTGTGGTTTTCCAGCCAAACATAAAGAAATCACACTATCACGCTTGAATTCCATCACTAATAACTTTTTTTGTGGAAAATTCTCACAAAATGCTTTTGTACGCTTGTAAAGAATACAATGAGCTGTCACTGGAATAATTTTGAGAGCTGTGGGACGAGTGGCTTAGAAATGACAGCCGTCTGAATTGGTTGCAGTTTTTCAACTCACCCTCTATATCTTCAACCGATTTCGGGTTAATTTTGCAATAAATGGCCAAAATCAGTCCAAATGACCCGCATTTTTTTTGACATCCGACGAATTCAATCCAGGAGCAAATACATCAAATTTGGTGAAAATCGGTTCAGAGATAGCTATAGCTCCCATATATATGTTTCAGCAATGTTATTTGATACTAGTGACTGTTCTAGTAGTTCATAGTTGGTATGACTTACTTCACAAAAATTTACAATATAAAAAATATTTTGTTACATGTGCTCTACTAAATACGTATAGTGCAAGTACGTACAATTTTGTGAAAATCGGTTCAGATATAGCTGTAGCTCCCATATGTAAGTTTCATCCGATTTGGTTTTTAAGTCCCTTACATCGCTAAAACGCACTCCACAACAAGGATATTTGGCACCAGATATCAGATATAGTCCACAAATACCTCTGCTACTTTTTATTAAGATCTGTTCTGATTTGGATATAGTCCAACTGAACGGAATTTGGGCACATCCGACCGAATTCAGTCTAGAAGCAAGTATATCACTTGAAATCGGTGAAAATCAGTTCAGATATAGCTCCCATTTATATTATCCATCAGATTTGGATTCACATGCGTAATATGCACTCCACAACATTGATATTTGATACCGGACATCAGATACTGCAAGAAAATACCTCTGCCAAATTTTATCGAGATATGTTCAGATTTTTATATAGCTTCGATATACGTCTTCACGCGATTAGTGAAACTCGGTCCGGTATATATATTGCTCCAATAAATAGTATTTAATATAATCCTATATACTTCACATAAATTGCCAATAAAAACATTTTTGATATGGGAGCTCTACTAAATACGTGGTCTTGGCCGTTTTTTACAGGTTAGATTTATAATTAACAGACCCCTTCTTAATATTCACATTAACAAGAGATATGTTTTTTCGCAATTAGTGCAGTTCCGTTCTTTGACATAAACAAGACACTCTAGAAGATATTCCCCCATTATACCCCAATTTATTTGCTTCCCATCTTTGTAAAGCAATAGAAGCGAATATGCAGCTTAGAAGGCCAATATTCTATTCTAATGCGAAACTTTAACTACTCCCATTCAATGGGCAAAATATAACAGAAGATCATATTAAAGTTTAATTTATGTCTTTCAGTTCAATGGCAATCGACAAGGACCAAAGGGCGCAACATCCATTGCTCTAAATAAAGTTTGCTTAGCAATCAAATGCCACAGCATTTTACCACCGATAATAACCACAACAGGCGATAATAAAACCAAAAAGATTTATAACATACGCATCCGACGTACATCATAAAAATATATAGATACATACATACCCACATGCAAGGGGCCACATATTGTCGTATCGACCACTCTGTGTCAATGTCTCTCAATTGTGTGTCCTGATAGAATAATAGTGTTGGCAATTATTTCCACATCACTTGGATATCGATGACAATTCGAAGAGGCAAACAATATTCTGAATAAAGTTGCCTGAATGGAGTGGGGTAGATGGGAGCCCTCTAACAAGTAAAAATAGGATATTTGGAGCAACAGGAGTACAACAACAACAAAAAATGTACTGGTTACAACAACAAAACAGTCATAAAGAAATGCTTGGCTTCAACATGGCAATGTTGCCATAAATCTCATTCAAGTTTTGCCTTAAATGGGAATGGTATGCCGTAGACCATTTGCTAACAAAATAGTCAATGCAATTTTCATTTAAAACCGGAAGTGGAATAGAAGCTAATAAAAAACCCACAGCCAGCAAGCTTTAAAGATAATAGTGGCGAATGTAATCTCTGTTAATAGCTGTTGCTGATGGTGGGTCTGCGTTGCTCTCGTAACAACGCACACTGTTTCCATCCCACAAAACCAGTGAAGCCGAACGAGGCAATTTTATCAACGCTTGAATAGACACTACACATCTTTTCCGAAATGAATGCCAATATGATACGTTGCAAAAATTGGTTTTGCGCTCGAAACAATAACAATGACTACGCCGAGGTTTTGTTTGGCGATTCCAACAAAAATACATCACAACAACAAACGATAACGACAACAGCAACAACAACGCCACCAACCACCAGTGTCGTAACACCAGACCGACCGCATCAACAGATCAACGGCAAAATTACCACCGCAACAGGCCATATTGGCAACCACGCAATGACTGCTACCAACAACTCGGCAACAGGTGCAACAACAAATCCGCCAATGAGCAATTCAACGGGCGGCTGTGCTGCTCAGTCAGGTGCTGGCAGCGGTGTTGGATCACATGTTGTCACATTTTTGGACGATGTGCCCAGTGGCAGCAATGGTGTTGTCAATACAACGACACGTTTAATGAACCATACCGATCTGCATCAGAATACCCACGACCATCGTCACACATCTGACGATTTAGATGTCCTCGATGATGATTTCATAGCCAGTCAAGTGGTCAGTTCGTCGCTGCTGTGTGACGATACATTGCCAGGCTCGAAAAATTGTTATCGTTTAGTGATATTGGGGTAAGTAATTCATTTACTATATTAAAAACTTGGATAAGAGATTTAATTATGGTAAACTCAATATGAGGATATGGGGGCTCTACTCGGCACACACTCGATATACGGTAACTAGTTTTAGGGTATTTACACAGCAAAGACTAATTTGTGGCTGGTAAATGATATTATGTCGTTGTGAATTTGTTCGTAATATATATCTATATAATTCCATGGTACAATTAAAGAAGGTAGAACAAGCTACTTCTAAATACAATGTTTTTACCCTCCACCATAGTATGGAGGGAATATTAAGTTCGTCATTCCGTTTGCAACACCTCGAAATAGACATTTTAGACCCCACAAAGTATATATATATATATATATTCTTGATCAGCATAAAATTCAATGTCGATTTAGCTTCCGAACGAATTGAAGTAGATTGATAAAATTTTCCACGTTTTGGAATAGCCCCCATGTAACGGTACCTTCCGATTTTTGGTATTTTGATGATTTTTTTCACGAATTTGTCTAAAAATTTTTATTTTTTGGCCATAATGGGTTCTAGCTCCGGTGACGAAACATTGTATGTATAGGTCCACGTTTTGGTATAGCCCCATACAACGGTACCTCCCGATATTCGGTATTTTGATGGTTTTTGTCATATTTTTTCACAGATTTGTCTAAAAATTGGTATTTGTTGGTCATAATGGATCTGGATGCGGTGGCGAAACATTGTATGTACAGGTCCACGTGTTGGTATAGCCCCATACAACGGTACCTCCCGATATTCGGTATTTTGATGGTTTTTGTCATATTTTTTCACAGATTTGTCTAAAAATTGGTATTTGTTGGTCATAATGGATCTGAATGCGGCGGCGAAACATACTATGTATAGGTCCACGTTTTGGTATAGCCCCATACAACGGTACCTCCCGATATTCGGTATTTTGATGGTTTTTGTCATATTTTTTCACAGATTTGTCTAAAAATTGGTATTTGTTGGTCATAATGGATCTGGATGCGGTGGCGAAACATTGTATGTATAGGTCCACGTTTTGGTATAGCCCCATACAACGGTACCTCCCGATATTCGGTATTTTGATGGTTTTTGTCATATTTTTTCACAGATTTGTCTAAAAATTGGTATTTGTTGGTCATAATGGATCTGAATGCGGCGGCGAAACATTGTATGTATAGGTCCACGTTTTGGTATAGCTTCCGTATAACGGTATCTCCAGATATTCGGTATCTCCAGATATTCGGTATTTTGATTGATTTTTGCCACATTACTTCAAGGATTTGTCTAAAAATTGGTATTTGTATGTCCTAATTGGTTCTAGCTCCGTTGGCGAAACATTGTATGTGTAGGTTGACGTTTTTTTATAGCCCTAGATAGCGGTAACTCCCGATATTCGATATTTTGATGATTTTCGCCTCATTCTCTCACGATTATGTCTAAAAATTGGTATTTGTGGGTCATAATGGGTTCTAATGTTTCCTTTACCCTAAGTTGGAGGGTATTAAAAGTTCGGCCCGTTTTTGTACTTGTTTTTAATGAAAACTGGTGCGTCGTATAGTCCTCTCTCCATATTTGAAATTTTGAATTTAATTCGTAATATCTTTTTCGTTTCTACACAATCAGCACTTCTAATATTTCCATTTATCGGACTTTAATTTTCAAAATCAAATCATTCTTAATTTTCAAATTTTCAAAAACTGCGGTTTCTTAAATAAAAACAAGTAAATAAGTAGTAAGTTCGGCCGGGTCGAACCGAACTTTTGATACCGTACCCCTATATCAACAATATTTTTATAAGGCAGTTAGACACCCATTAGAAACGTCATCTACAAGTTCCGACAATTCCCTTGAAAAAATGGGATATATACGACTATGTGGACCTGCATTAACTGGTTCTTACAAGGTGGTTGGGAACCCGTAACAACCTTCAACTGCCAAATTTCAGGCAATTCCGTTGAAATAGTGCCGTTATATGGAAGCGAAAAACGATATGGACTTATATTAACTGGTCTTTGGAAGATGGTTGGGGACCCGTAACAACCTTCAAATTACATATTTCAGATAATGTCGTTCAAAAATTTGCAGAAAATCTTCGAAATGCTTAAAAATGGGGGTGGGGGTGTTACGTTACATGGGGCTTAGAAAAAAGTTTGTCGATATAGCCCACCTTCGAACTTGATCTAAGTTCAGACCCAAAACGCATGTGTACCAAATTACAGCATCCTATCTCAATGCCTTCGACAGACGGACAGACGGACGTAGATGGCTACATTCAATTAGGAATTAAGGTCGACTATTAATATATATACATTGTTGGGTATTAAATATAGGGGTAATACGAAGAGCTGGACTTACATACGCAATTTTCTGTCATGGGCTGTAGCACCCGTTAGGAACTTCAAATATGAAATATGAAAAATTCCGGCTAATGTCATCAAAATACAGAATATATGGCGGCTATACGAAGACGTGAACCTGTATGAATAATTCTGTCATAGGATGTAGTACCTATTAGGAACTTCAAACACTTTAACTTCAACTTGAAACTTTTCCGGTGAAAAGTGTGACACAAACCATCAAAATAAGGAATATCTGAAGGTACAACATATGATTCCAAATTACTGCAAATGTGTTTTAAAATTGTGACTGAAACACCCAAAAAAACCCTAAATCTGTCGGTAAAGTTATATAGGGCTATGCCAAAACGTGTTGTATGGGCCCAATACCAAATGTCCTACAGACCAAAAATACATCTGAGAAAAATTTTATCAACCTACTTCATTTGTTTCAGAGTATATATATTTTGTAGGTTCTAGAATTTATATTTCGAGGTGTTGCAAATGGAATGAAAATCTTAATATATCCTCCGTATTATGATGGAGGGTATGAAAATAATTTATGCTATGTGGTCCATCGATTGCTTCATAAATTAGTTCAGCTAGCAGTTGGAACAAATATATTCCTAAAAATCCTGTTTAATCTAATATCGTTTAAAATCATAATTAAATGCCCCCTAACACGCTCAGTCATGTTCTATCTTAGCTTTGTATAGCATACCTTCATTGGCCATTTCACAAGTAAAATTACTTTTATTTGTCATTTTTCTCCCTTCGCCATATCGTTGTGCCTTTGTTATAAAAAAATTGAAAAAATACGATTTCAATTAAGAAACATAATTACATCGCTGTTATCTTAACAGCTATGGCATATGTGCGATAATTATTTGTTAATTAGTTTGGAAGAAATAAAGAGAACAAGTTAATAGCTTTAAGGGAAAAAGTAAAATCATAAATTATCCCACAGCGCAATACTGAATATCTATAATTGTGTTAAAAATATTCAGCTTATTACAGTCTTATATTAACTTATGAACATTGTTGGGCGCCAAGCATAATAGAGTTTTTAAAAGTTTAAATCAATGATTAAGTGGCATTGTTCAGTATTTCATCGGTATCATGCTAGTTTCGAAAATCGATGACAAAATGAAAGTCCAGTATTCGAACGATTTCCATATCAAACTGCAAATGTCAATGAAATCGGTTGGAAAATCCAGTAGAAGCCTTTCCAATGTGATAAAGTGGAGTTACCGTAATTTGATGTCAATTTTGTGGAGATTTTCTGCTACAGGGTTTTATATCAATTGCGAATTTTTTGGTTCCCAATTTGAAACAATTCCGTTGAAAAATATGGCTAAAATCATTAAAATAATGAATATAAGGAGGCCCCGTTGTATATGATTAGAGCAAACTATCTATCGTATAAAACTCCCACCCTTCGAGCGAGTTTCACTCCCGAGTGAAAACGAGCAAATCTATGCTCTAATTTCAACAGACAGAGAGAGAGGGAGAGAGACGGAAATTCCACAAAAAAGTTGAAAATTGCAACAAAGATCATTAAAAAGTATATATTGGGAGTTTGACTTTTATGAATAACTCAATAACCATTTTTGTAATTATGGTAAGAACAGTTATCTGCCAGAAAAGGTATCTATTGCGAATTCAAATACCAACTTTGAGAACAATATGGCTAAAAACATCGAAATAAAGAATATGATGAGGTACCGTTATGTGACTCAGTACCACAACTTGAACCTACTTCAAAAGCTTTTTGCAAGGACTCTTCCCGATACGCACAATTTCAATATAAACAAAATTTGGAGGAAAGTCATGACTAAAGCCTCCGAAAAAAACGATTAAAAAATCAGCTAATTTCCACACAAATCATCAAAACACAGGATATCTGGAAGTACAGTTATATCGGGCTATGTGAAAACATGAACCTGAGAGTCATAGGATGTAGTACCTGTTAAGAACTTAAAATACGAGATTTGAAAGAATTCCGGTATTTAATGTCCTTAAAATCATTAAAATACCATTTTATGGGGAGATACCATTTCATGGGCGCTATACGAAGACGTGCATACCCAATTTTCTGTCACAGGCAGTAGCAGCCATTACGACGGTCACTCTAACTTCCGAATGGGAATTTAAGTCAAAAGTATTTAGGACCATTTGGTATTTCGTAGCTCCGCGTTTTAGTATTGTGACCATATGCATAGGGTACCGCCCGTTTTTTTATACCTTCCACCATAGTGTGGTTGAGAACTGCAACAAAGTCATTTTCTTTAAATTTTATTGAGTGAAAGAAAAAAATGTCGGAAATATCATCAAATTTTAGAATAAGTTTAGAAATGTTCGAATTGGTCAACTTTGGCACGAATTATGGCCTTCAAACGGCCAATGAAAACGTCACACGCTGCACAAATGTTGCTCTGCGGTATTTTGACGCGTATTTTGAAGCGCTTTCCTGAGGTGATCGAAACCTTGGTATTTTTCAGTGCCAACATTGCTTTCCAAAATACTGTAGACACAACAGTCCAACGAATTGATATCCGGAGATTTTGGAGGCCATTGTGCGCTGGAAATGAAGCGAACAACCTCATTTTGTAACCAATCTTGGGTGGCGCGTGCTGATTGCGTTGGTGCTGATTCTTGTTAGAATGTCC